AAGCCTACGACTATTTTTCAAAGAAGTAACGGCTTGTCGTACTTTGACTCGTTCATATGTAAACTTCATGGCTTGAATGATATCAGCGTCGTTCTTAAAGACAAAAATGGCAGTAATTAAACAATTTATATGCCGTTCGTAAAATACACACCACGCTTAGAACAGTTTTTTCACTGAGCGACCGAACCACAGAGAAACAGTGCTTTCCTAGACGAGGAACCCGCAGACCATCGGCTATTGTAGGAATGAGCTTCGATGGATCTACGCAATTCTGCGAACCGGATTTCAACGAATTGGCCAAATTTTTTCCGACTGGTTCAACGCAGTACACTAAAAAATAGCATCTTGAGCGCTCGAAGCAACCCAATTAAATCAAAAAACCTTTCACTGCGGGGTTCACGAATTTTGTCCAACAGGCGATTCCCGAAACCATGCCTCCTCCTCCCACCGGAACAACAAGTGCATCTAGCTGTGGAACTTGTTCTAAGAATTCGCATGCTATTGTACCCTAGAAGGACTGAACGTTATACGAATTATACGAATAGCGATACTTTGTATCTTCATTATTAATATGCACATAACTCTACCAACAAGTATTTTATGATGAGAATCACAATCTCAACTGATCTTAAATGCCCAAATACCTTTTTAAGCGGACTCATTTGAATTATTAAATCATAGCGCAGAACCGTGTTGCATAACTTTACTGTCTAGATCAGTATTTTGATCTTCACCAATAATAATTCTTCAGAATAGAATATTGTCTTCCCAGGGAATGGGAGTACTGGTTTGAAAAAAATACAAGTTTACACTAACAATCAAATAGGCAGAGGTAGAAAGCGCTCAAAAGTAGCTTTGAGACTGTACGTCTTTCCATTACATTATCATTTAATTTTTGGTAATTTACAGATATTCTCTCATATGATTGTCAGTGTTTTGGCTATTCGCTACACACTCGCATTTATGAAGAATAACCAAGTTCACCGCTGTATTGAGCGTTTTTACCTGTTAGTTGCATAAGTTAGTTATCTTACATAACCATAAGCTATGACCTAGATTTCATAGCACAAGTCAAACGTATAAGCTATGATCTGAACGGTGCGGTGATGATAAGAGAGCGAGTGGAAGACAACCTTCACAACCTTTCTGTTAAGCATCCTTCCAGAAAATGAACTAATGGCGTCAAATTGGCGAAATTGCAACGGTCACCCAAAGGGCCCAATTCAAGTCTACCCTGAACAGTACTCTCCTCCAGCGCTTATCAGACTCTGGCCTAAAACTCACCGTCGCTCGTCATGACCACTCAAGACGAACTATCGGCTCAAACCTTCGCAAACACCAACTTAATATCGAAGGCATATCACGTGCGAAATGCGATTAACTGTTGAAAACTCTCAAATATCACTACATCGACGTCGCTATGAAG